CACCCCCCCCCAGCCCCTCCATGCCAGACACCTCACCTGGGATAACTCACACCGGATAACCCACCTGGGGTGACCCACAGCAGGTAACTGACCCACCAGGCAACCCACCCTGGACAGTTCACGCCGAATAACCCACCCAGGATAACCCACCTGGGAGAACCCACGCCAGAATGACCCACCCAGGATAACCCATGCCAGAAAGCCCATGCGGGATGACGGAGCCTGGATAACCCACGCGAGCTAACCCAGCCTGACGCTTCGTGCTTTGTGGGTGTGAAGCCCCTTTTTTTTGCCCAATGACTTGCAAAAATCGCGCCACTTAAGAGTTCACAGACGGGCCCCCACGACAGCTGTACTAAAAATCATCAATCTGAGCGGGACACTGGGTTAGAAGCCATGGAGGATCCCAGCGGTAGACATGGCTGGAGCATTCCGCTCCCCACTCTGTTTCATTGGCTGTACAGTTATTCACTTTTTTAAAAAACGCTTGTCAGACAGGAGTCGAGCCGAGCGTCTCTTGCCTGCAACGGCGCAGTGTTCAAACCTGCCCTCCTTGCCGCTCGTTTCCACTGTTCTTTGTTTGGTGCGGCACTGGCGGTCTGTCGCTACAGCGCTGGGTTTCTCCCTGTTCGATTTTTCGCCTCCCCGCTCCCAGAGCAAAGGCTTGTTCTCGCCTCCCTCGCCGCAGCGGAAAGGCCTGCGGCCTGCGGCGCCAGCAGCCTGCCAGGGCTGCTCTTCTACCAAACACCTCCCCTCGCCCGCAGCACCTGCCACGTGCTCAACAGCTTCCAGTTTTCCCTCCTGGCGCACTCCCGCGTGGTTGCGGAGGTGCGCTGCCTTGATCTGCAGTCACCGCGGGACCCTCCCTGATGGCTGTCCCACACGCCTTGCCAAGACGAGCCCGCCACAGAGCCCCGCTCTCTGGAAGCACCCGCTTGCTAAGGCATTTGGTGGCACTTCCATGCTGGCTGCATAGTAAAAACAAACATGACTTGTTGCAAACAATTTATTACATAGTCATAAATAAGAGTTTAGCAGAAAGAACTATACAGCAATAAGGCATATTAATACTATTGTTAAATATGCAACTGACACACATTTTAACGTTTTTCCTCTAGTTTTCTAACAAAGTCCTATGTAGAGAAGTGTGTTTCTGATACCGGTGCCAAGTGATAGCAAGGATGCACGGTGAAGGACCTGACTGTTGCATCATTTACCTTAAATAAAATATAACATTCCATGAAGATTTACTGTTATTTATGCCAGCAAAGTAGAAAACTATAGCTTTCTAAGAAGATTAGAAAATATAAGCGTCCCGTTCACTTTTTGTAACTCCTTAACTACTTCTTAAACTGTACTTACTAGTAGTAAGGTATGAGTAAAGTTACTACACAACAGCACAGTTCCTAACATTCATTTTGACTTTTATTTGAAAACTTAGAGGCAAGTGCTAACTTCCATTTTTTTAAAAAAAACTTTTTTACAAAATATTGCACACTGTTTTAGCATGCGGTTTACACGGAAGAAATAGTCAAGTGCACTTAAAACCCTGAAATACAACCAGAAATTTTAAAGATTTGTGTTCTGGGTACTGTTTTAACGTACAAGGATATGCTTCAGACCGCACACCTTGTTGAGACCCCATCCTGACTCTGCAAAGAGCAGGCAGGATGCGTACAGACTGCATCTGGCTTTCTTGCAACACAAATCTTCAGTCCTGCATCCTGCACTGCTTGTAGCCTCAAGCAACTGAGGTAAGTAATCCGTAGATTAGTTTAACAGAAATAACTTAGTACCTCCTATGTGAGTTTTTGTTACTGCATATGTATTGCAATCCAGGGTAAGATTTATTCAACTTTCTGAAGTCCTCTGAGTAAGGTTCATTTGGAAATCTGTACCTCCCCCTCCTCCATATACACATTTTATATTGCACAGCAAAAGTAAAAATCCTTTTTTTTAAAAAAAACAAGCATGCTAAACATTTAATATGGCTTTTGAATGGTTTAAAGTATTTCCCTTTTGACATCCTCATGCAATATTTTAGAATAAATATGAATACAAAGTACGAGAAAGTTAAGAGTAAAAATAAAGCCAGCTATAACGTTTGTCAGAAACCAAATAAAAATCAAGAGTTTATCAAAAGTAGTTGCTCAAAGGTCTAACTGGTCTTTTAAGCATACTTATCAACATTGTCTTAAAAATACAGTGTGTCTACAAAACACTGTAACATATACAACCTCCTTGATGTTCCACAGACTGACAAAAAAAGGTACACAGGTTAACTGAGACTTCCTTAATGGCGCTGGTAGCCCCATCGTCCTCTGGGAACAAAAGCCTTACTTGATTCATGCTCGTCCAACTCGGTAAATCATTTACATTTCATTAGCTTTACTGGTTAAGCTCAAGCCCTACAATAGCTTATACATGAAACACAAAAATATTTATAAAAATAATAGATATGTTGTATAGTTTTTTAAAAAAATAAACCATGCAGCTTCTGTACAAAGTTAAAAAACTGTACAAATTGATTTTCTATTGTGTAAAATTCACGTACATGGAAGTCTTCTGTTCTGATGAGAAATAAGTTGGTTTTTGCTTAGCCGTAAGATGCTGTTTTGTAACTATTGTCCATTTCCATCACTCATTTCTTTCACTTGGCATTAACTGGCCATTTAACTTCATCAGAAGTTTTACAACGAGACCTGCCTATACGGGGGCATACAATTAAATTCTGTCAGCATTTCAGAACTATGACACAATTAACTTCAGTGTATGACAAACGCAAGTAGATAAAAATACATCAGAAGGTGCATCATTTTAGAAATAAGGAAAATAAAACCTAGTTTTTTTTCTCAGATATCTGGAAGTGTTTTTCAAAATATTCCATCACTTCCCTTACAACCACCTTAATATATAAGAATCAAAAGCAACTACTGTTGAAGTATGCAAGATACTCAAAGCTGTAATTTTGTCACAACACCTTTTAACATGGCATATTACCACTGATGCAGACTACAGGCGAAACAAGCATTTTCCATCAGATATCCACAAACGGTATCGAAAGTTGCTGATAGCAATTGCAGTGAAGTTGCTTTGTAACACTGCCTTTACAGATCCTCAGTTTCATCCACTATCAAACACCACTAGTTTTGATAGCAAAGTTACCAGCTCTAACTCTGTCATTCTCATCATATTCATAATTATCCTTAGAGTCCGAGTATTAAGATCATAGTTGTGAGGGCCTGGACTTGGGCTTCTTTTATACGTACAAGGTGGTCAATCTCAAGAGAGAAGAGGCATGTATCTAGTTTAAGAAAAAATAATTTCACACAAAGAATGAAAAATGACAATGCTTACCTGTTTGGTATGCACAATAAAGCTCATTTTGTTTTCCAGACTGTGGATTTGAAAACATGTATCTCCATCTCCCAACTGCCACATAAAGCAACCATACTTTAGGCTGAGGAGTAAAGCCTACAATGAAATGCAGGAAACTGTCACTCAGAAAATATTCTCCATACTTACAGACTGAACTTCCCTTAGTTCACTTAGACAGGATTCTGACTTAGAATAGCATGTTCCACAACCTAGTGGTAGTCAACTGGAAAAACACAAGGCTTTCTATTAGTAGCGCTTTATAAAGTTCTCAAAATCTAGGAAATCTTCACAGTCAAGTTTAACTGAACAGCTGGATGCAAAATGACTACTAGCACAAAGAATTTAAGAGAACAGAATTAAGCTTAACAGTTATCATTGGCAGTGCACTGAAGCTGACCTTTGTTTCCATGTTGAGGAGGTGCAGCCCTTTCACATTTACTCCTACATACACTTTGATGACTTTATGGCTACTTGAACTTGCTTTGGTGAATATCTGTCCCGTGAAAAAAGCTGCTCCATAAGTAGGAATTTCCCAGCAATTCTGCAAGAACATGCGCTGAAGGTGATGCATCTCTTTACTTACACCTTCACTGGTGCTGAGATTCTAGAAACAAAGGAACAACGGTAATCAACAAGTCTTCCCATATAGTTGTGCTTATTTGAAGCAAAAACGCTATTTTAGCGGAATTCCCACTAAACTAGTATTCCCAAAGTGCTTTCCCAGCAACTGTCTTCCTACATCTAAATTAAACCCTAGAGCCACAGAAAGGCTCAAATGCCAAGAGACTGAGGCAGAAAGCAGACAGCCGTGTGAGCCTTGGAAATCCGAACCGCAGACCCCTAACCTCTGCAGGGCCCCACAATTCTGCCTCTCTCAGAAGTATTTTGGACTCATCAGGCATAAGCAGCCATGCAACCATTTGACACTAAATGCATCACAATCCTTAAAAGTAAGCATTCTTCCTCCTTTAAGGGCTCCAACCCTGTGAAGCATGGTAAGATGAGCAAGTACCTTCCCCCAAAAAGCACAGAGTTTTTTAATTTTCTGAGAAAAACACAAGTGCAGATTTCTTTTCTTTAGTGGATCACTCATTCAGAATGAGATAGGATTCTGTTTCTTCCTCTTCAGTAAACAGTCACAACAAAGGATCGCTAGAGTGCTCCCACCTCAACAGACTGATATGAAGTACCCTAACAAACAAAAAACTTGGCTGGACCACACACGAGCTGAGAAGACACAGGCACGAGAGAACACAAGTCTTCAACAGTTAGGGGGCCATGACTGTGGGTGTGGTGGATGGGACCAACTTCTTTGGATTCACACTCTGCATTACAACATATCTGAAGTTCACACAGCCATTTTGAAAACGTAAAATGTATTAATACCTTTGGAACCAAAGACTGCAACTCCTTTCCCCTTCCTCCATACCCCACACCCCAAAATAATGGCCTAAAAGCAGAAGTCAAGACAGCTATGTTCATTCTTACATATCATCCAAGAAAGGGTAGAGACTACTCTGCTATGCCATAGTCTTAGGAAGACCACCATCATCCCCTCCTTCATCTGCACTACAAAACAGGAATGATCGGCTGGTTTCTGACAAAAAAGGTATAGGCACCAAGAGAAAATTTATGATTGAGCAACCTCATCTCAAAACAAGGGGCAAGGCCTGGAAACATTCCCTGGGTGCCTCGGCAGTGTTTCCTGTCAGCTAACCATGCACATTAGCCAGTGCAGTTCTCTGACACACCTCACTTTTTCCATAATTTTTTATTAAGTTCACACATTTAACCTTCAGGTGCCTCTGACTCCATTTGGAATCCATAACCCTTCAGTCAGATGTCATTTACAGAAACAGCCCAAGCCCACGTTTAAAAATTTTGCTCAATTAACTGCTCGAGTCAAAGGTGTTTGTGTGTGCACATGCACTCATCAGGAGCACTATCAGAACCCTAACATAAAAGCTACGCTAGCAAAAAGGACTGTGTGGATCTATTGCTACAAGCAGATATGAAAATATAAGTCAGAGTAGATTTTTTACATGTATGCCTTAATTGGCAGTATCCCCAATACACAGTTAACACCGAAGACACATGAACAGATGACAACTACATTTACTTCTAACAAACAGATCAACTGTAGCCGTACAAGAAAAACAGTATTCCAACAACCCACCCCAAAAAATCGGAGCACACACATTTCTAGCTTTATATACCAGTATTTTTGTTCATTAACCAACAACCAAACAGTCAAAAAATCTTTAAGACAGGATTTTCTACTATTTTATTTTTTTATCCCACCTTGTATTCATGAAGTATCCTGTTTGTCCAATGAGGAGCTTTACTTTTTAGTTTAGTGATCGGTACTATAGATTTAAGATTTTCTTCACTAAAAGAAAAAGAAAGCAGAAGAAAGTTTTTCTTCACTAAGCAAAGCAATGACAAAGAACAAAGTCTGACGGTTTCTATCTTCAAGTCATATACTGAGCTAGACAGACAGCTCCTACTCTTCTCTTGACCCATCAGGTGAGAAGCTTTCCTGAAAGCTACGCTAAAGCTTCCTAAGATACACTGTAATTCTCAGTTAATGGAGATCCAGCTTTGCGTTATACCCTTTGCATCATACGTCACGGACGTGTCATGGAGAGAAAATTCTAGCAGAACACATGACTCTCACTTGACTACAGACCAGTTTGGTGAATTCCAGTTTGGAAGCCAAAACGATGTATGAACAGCCATTTATACCAGAATATTACATACTCAGAAAAGATGGGAGCTTATAGGTGCTCTTCCCTTCACTGTTGTATTCAGCACCACCGAGGACTTGGCCCATTAATTTCCACAGGAAAGTTAGATACTACATGATATGAAAGTGAAGCTATTTATATGAAGTGCCTTTACGAAACCCACAACCAAACAACAAACAGTAAAAGGAAGCCTTTGCTAGTTTGTTTTTACACACAATTAATCTAGGTTGCATCACTAGGTTCTTGAGACTATTTAGTTATTTTTAAACTATATTTGTCAGTAATTGCATATACAATTTACCAATCAAAAACCCTGCACAGGACAATGCGTCCAGATGTTTTAAGATCAAGGATACCCTCGTACAAACAACAGCCTAGATTTTGAAATGACCAGTCTTTTAATAAACATTTATGTCTACTACAAAAAATTTCAGAATATGAATCTTTTCGTCTATCTGAAAAAGAACAAATAGAGGTCTTTTCCAACACCTTTGTTTGAACACGGATAGAAAGCATGCCCAAACGACAGAATGACAGAATAGTATGGGTTGGAAGGGACCTCTGTGGGTCATCTAGTCCAACCCTCCCGCTGAAGCAGGGTCACCTACAGCAGGCCACAGAGGAAATGTCCACAAGGCTCTTCTGTCTGGCCCAAACTATCTTTCCAAGTAGTCCTGGCTACAGAGTCAAACATTTCCAGTGAGCAGGATCAGCTCATAGCCATACTGCTCATCTGCCCCAGCATGGAAAGGAACACCATCCTGCAGCTGCTGGGATTCAGTGGGGATAGTTTCACATTAAATCCAGTTGTGTTTAACTGCACACTCCTACAAGTGGGCAGTCCCACTCAAAACCAATTTGCCTTATGCTCAATCTACCAACCGTGCAGCTGCAGGACAAGATGGGTCAACAGCTGAACCTACTGAACAGCCCACCCAAAAGCTTTCCACTCAGCCAGCTCATTCACCTAGCTTACTCTCTAATGGTACACTATCTACACCTAGCAGAAGGAAAACAACGAACAAGCGCAGTCAGTACAGCCAGCCCTCTCAGAGGCAGCCCACACTTGCATCAGCAATCTACACCTAGCAGAAGGAAAACAACGAATAAGCGCAGTCAGTACAGCCAGCCCTGTCAGAGGCAGCCCACACTTGCATCAGCGTAACTGTAGCAGAAAATGCACCCTGATTTAATGGTGGATTGTGGAGAACACAATTAAAAAAACCCAAGCCAAGACAGCTCAGTTGATGCTGTGAATGATAGGAGGTGAGAAGTATAGCAGCATTCCAGAATAGCACAGCTGCTATTACATGAATGAGTTGAGGTGGAGGTGGTAGGGAGTGGAGTGAAGGTGCGCACAGCAGAGAACTGGAACCCTGATGTGCTCAGATACTGCTGTAGAAATGTATGTGGGAGGAAAAAGCCATATACCAGAACATCTCTGCTACTGTTGCGCTGGCAAGCAGAGCGAAAGGGAGAGAAAAGCACCATCTGGCAGAGCCCTGCTGGTGCTATGTTTCTGACCAATTTAGTATAGCAGTTCACATACAAATGAGAGAACAGAAGTAGTATCTTTGCATGGTCTGTCCTCTTCAAAGAGGGAGGAAAGCCCGTCCCAGGAGTTGGTGAAACTGGACATAGTCAGAGGTTTCTTTAGCATTTTCCAGAGTCTCAGTCCCGTCAAAATCCTTCATTCACATGAATACAGTTACTCATTTTGGTATTATTGTGTCTCAGTACAGAGTTACAGAACCTCCATCCCTCTGCCTGGGATTGCAATAATTAAGATTAATATATTTCTCAGACCCCGTGTCCAGCTTCTATTAATACTATGAGGGTTATGTGTTCTAGAACTAAAGTTCAGTGATGGAGGAAAATAATAAATATACCATACCTAAAATTTGAGAGTTCCATAGTAAGTGTTATCTAAAAATACTTAATCTAAAAGCATTATTTTAAGTTTTAAACACTCATACTTACTTCAGAAAACCCTGTTTATGTTTCTTGCTCTCATAATTTCCATAGACTATTTGTAGAAGCAGACTTGCCAGTGTGATCAGTTTGGCATCAGGTGATGTATAGAAACCTTTCAGTAAATTATATCTGGCTTCATCAAAAAGGATAAGAATAGCCAATGGATCCTCAATCTGTTAAAAAATTTAAATAATATGATTTCTTTGTAAAATAAAATGAGCTTAGAAACTATAAATATAATTTCTCACCGATTCAGAGACAGAAGACAAAGGCGTAATCCTGACCGAAGTGTACATTTTAGTTATGCTTTGTAATAGAAAAAAATGTCATATTTTCACTGACTTAATTCAAGACTTCACTAGTCTAACACACTTACAAATTACAGGTGACTAGCATACCATGCCTAATCAAAAAGTTTGCAGAAATAACATCTGTGGGCATTAATTCATTTTTAATAATATGTTTGAATAATCTCCTTTAAAATGACCAATTAAATAGCTGAAAAATCACTGCACAATGAAGAGCAAAAAAATTGGGCAGGCTATTTTTAGCTACATGACAGACAGATAAAGACTGGGTCAACAGACTTACAATAAACCAAACAATTCGGAAAGTGAGAAATGAGTGAGAGGGAGGAAGGAAGGAACATGAAGACTCAAACTATTGCAGAAAAGAGAAGGGGAGGAGAGGTCCTACTTAAATAAATTTGGAAATTACTACAGTCATCAAACACACTGAGTGTTGATGGTCAAAGTGTTCTGATTCCGACTGTGATTTCATGTTATCACTCCTAAGTGCAGACCTTTTTTTCTATTTCCAGTGGAAGTCTCACATCTCTTCTCAGAAAAAGCTGTGAAGTTTCCCTTTGAGGATCCAAGTTTGTCAGTTCAGTGAATATTTCAGGCCAATCTCGAATATGCTGCAAAGGCTTGTGATATGGCTTCAGTTGTAGGCCTGGAAAAAAAACAACGGAAAAAAACCAGAGAAACAGACACAGATACTCACATGCACACACGTGCATGCACACACACACACACACAATTAACTGGTGCACCAAAACTAGAGTATCTGAAACTTGGGACTTATTAACAAACAACTGGCCTTGGCCCATGGATCCAGTCTGTCCAGATCCCTCTGCAGAGCCTCCCTACCCTCAAGCAAATACAGACTCCCAATCTGCTTGAGGGTAGGGAGGCTCTGCAGAGGGATCTGGACAGGGAACTTGGGGGTGCTGGTCGGCAGCCGGCTGAACATGAGCCAGCAGTGTGCCCAGGTGGCCCAGAAGGCCAACGGCATCCTGGCTTGTATCAGGTATAGTGTGGCCAGCAGGAGTAGCGAGGTGATCATCCCCCTGTACTTGGCCCTGGTGAGGCTGCACCTCGAGCACTGTGTTCAGCTTTGGATCCCTCACTACAAGAAAGACATTGAGTTGCTGGAGTGTGTCCAGAGAAGAGCAACGAGGCTGGTGAGGGGTCTAGAGAACAAGTCTTAGGAGGAGCATCTGAGGGAGCTGGGGCTGTTTAGTCTGGAGAAGAGGAGGCTGAGGGGAGACCTTATTGCTCTCTACAACTACCTGAAAGGAGGTTGTAGTGAGGCAGGTGTTGGTCTCTTCTCTCAAGTAACTAATAATAGGATGAGAGGAAATGGCCTCATATTGCATCAGGGGAGGTTTAGATTGGATATTAGGAAAAATTTCTTTACTGAAAGAGTGGTCAGGCATTGGAACAGTCTGGCCAGGGAGGAGGTAGAGTCACCATCCCTGGAGGTGTTCAAAAAATGTGCAGATATGGCATTTCAGGACATGGTTTAGCAGGCATGGTGGTGATGGATTGACAGTTAGAGTTGATGATCTTAGAGATCTTTTCCAACCTAAATGATTCTATGATTTTTCCCTGTGTTTTCTAAATTGCTATATACAAAAGGTTTTCAAAATACAGATTTCTCGTCAAAACTCTCAGGATCAATTCACTAAATGCACTAGTGATAAATCTTTGTTTTTTTCAACTTCTCAAGAGTGAAGCTGTATTTAAAAATTTAATGGAATACCAAAACGGACCTTAAAAACACAGTAATAAAACATTAGAGACTGTTGTCTCAATTATTATGGAAGAAATACGAAGACCAAAAATTTTTTTTTGACAGAAAACCACAGATACAGCTTATCTTATCAACGTATGTGCCATTTTTGGATATATATAAACCACAAACTTTTCAGAACAGACATTCTTTTTTTATCTGTAAAATGTATTGATTCTTAACATGCTACAGCCATTCAGTGTTTCATGTTCTCCTGCATATATGGGAGCTGAGAAATCAGTAGAGAGCTTCTGACTATAGTCCTACTATGTACTACAGTCCACGCCTTCATTACACCCATTCACTTACCCTGCCTGTCTTTGTTATTACTGCTTGGGTGTTTTCTGGTAGTGAGGAACTAGGAGGCTTTATCTGCCTCATCCTCACTGCTCCGGCTTTTACACTGTGACATTTCACATATGTAAAACCTCAAAGGATATCTTATATTGCAACATCTTTTCACTGAGAATAATATGTTCACTCAACTTATCCACCTTACATTCAAACACAGAAAAACATAATCTGTCCCACAAACAAGAAAACTATCGTCTCTGCAGTTGTACAGAAACTGCAAGAAATACATTTTATAATGAACCTTGTCCATTAGTTGTTTGAAGCCATAAATAAGAAGTTGACTCATTTTCAAACCTAGGCTAAATATATACAGAATTACCTGTTTTTAAACAAACAATGTATTAGTGAGCTCTTCCCCTCAAATGCAAGGGTACTACTTCAATGATTTGAGTAAAATATGACATACATGTTTAGAAAAGGCACAAGCAGCAAGACTTCAACGCTCAAACATTTCCTCCTCTTCCACACATTAACATCTATGTTTAACTGAGTGTTACAGTAGTCATGTGGCACAGAGCAAAGTAAAAAGGCAAGTGGCATGACACGGGGAGAAAAAGATTAAAAAAATAAAAGATGTCCTGCAATATTTAGATTAAAAAAAAAAAGTAACAATAACACTGTAGTGGCAGATTGACGGTAAATTAAATTTTAAAGGCAAAGCTTCTGTGTTAAGGTACTGTCAACACAGTATCCTTCCAGACCTGAATTGTGCTTTGTATTTACAATGTGTCCCATAGCTATCTTGTTGCAGCAGTACCCTTTACCACATTTTCTGACAAAACACAATCACAATCATTGACTCTTTTGTGGTTCTATTTATCTTTTGCTATATATCTCGAACTACAATTATAAAATAGACTTTTTATTTAGATCAGAAATACCAAAAAATACAGCAAAGGTAATAACGATGTTTTGAACCAGAAGTCCCTCACACCAAATATATCTGAAAACTTGCTTATCAAAAATCATTTTGGTGCAAAACACACAAAAATTCGTATGATTAAAACACCTAATGAAACAACATTAATCAGCTTTACTTTAATTACTAGGTTTAAATAGATTAAACATTGGTAAAGACAACTACATGCATCCAATTTCAGACACTCTGGGAAGAAAAATATCATTAAAATCAGGGTAAGTTAGCAGCAAGGACTATGAGAGCAACAGTGTCTTATAACAGAAAGGTAATCTGGACTAGCCTCATCTGCCTAGACGAAATACATTCTAGATGCCCCAGCAATACAGAGTCAGACCTCAGAGGTACCCAAAGTGATGGCTAAAATGGAGAAGCTCGCTATAGCTCTGAAAAGCACAGCCTGGACACATCAGGCTGTAAAGGCTGGGAGCTGATCTACCAGAGGAAAACTTCAGCAGAGGAAATGGAAAAATTGGTTTCACTCCCTATGCAAACAATGTAAAGAATTAGACCTACAGGGATTACAGAGTGTCTGGCAGGGGCAAAGTGTATTAACAGACAGTCTAGATACAAATTAACTCCTAAAAGGATGGCTTTTAAAAGATGGTAGAAAGAGGTTAATAAGGAACTGTTAGAGAGCATGTTTCCTACTTTCCTAAGAAAATATTATTTTTGTTTAAAGGCAAGCAGAAATAAAAAAACTGTGATAAACTCTCAGGTATAACAATCTTCCTTGTCACTTACTGAGGTTCTCGGAACAGATCCAGATAGTGAAGTACTGCTGAGTTTCTTGAGACAAACGCATCCCCTCCATTATCTGCTGTACAGTAGTATTGTTCCCATGTTTCAACTCAACAGAGCGGTATGACCCATCCATACGATAAATTCGAGCCTTTTCATACTATATGAAAATTTAAACATATTAAACAAAGAACTTGTTAAAATCCTTTCTGCTGGTGCTTCTGTAGAGGAAAGCAATTTTACCATTATTCAGCAACATCCATACTGTTGAGAAAAAGAACACTGCACTACTCCTGCATATTTCCTGTTTACCAGAACTGCTTGTTTCATGTCCTGTGCAAGTTCTTATACTGTGCTTTTTACCACAGTAACTTGCAGACCTTACTGATATTTTGAGGACTTCATTTCTGTTGAACTCAAAGGCAAGTAGGCATTTAAAAGTTCCCTGAAGGATCTGGGCTCAACTGCCTATGCAAATCCTGAAATGTCCACCTCATTATTACTGGCAGGTTATGAATAATTCCCCTCATCAATCTATGAGGCTTATTTTTCAGAAGGAAGCACCACCCTTTACGCAGACATCAGTACAGTAAGAATACAATCTCACTAAGACCTTTAAGCGCTTCTATAATATTGCTAATAATAAACCATTTTCCCTTTCAGAACTCCCGTGGCTTTCACTGAATTGCATGTGGGCCCAGAGCATGTCTCCTGAAAGACACTTAACCATTTGCTTCAAGCACTGACTGAAAATGAGGATGGAATGGAAAACATCAGTCTATTTTTGCTGCAGTACCCACTGTGACTCCTATTGCAGTAAATTCTATGGGTTTTTTTTATTTTAATATATTAATTCAATAGTAATAAGTGACAACATAAAATCACCTATTACTCTGTGGAATCTACTTAAAATGTGTGTATTAGTCTTTTAGAGTCATTAGACACACATCTGCCATTTGATCAACTGTGTAATAAGATCCCTAAAATAAAGGAAGTCAATTCCTATAGAGTGAAACAAAGATAATTTAAAAATTCACAGATTTAGTGCCACCTACCTACAGAGATACAAGTTGCACCTGAAGTCAAAGAAAAGAAACAAGTGGGTTTATATCATTTGGCTAATTTTAAATATACTTCAGGATGAGAGGAATCACATCATAAATGTTGGTTACTATCCTGGCTAGATCTCCACTGACTGCCACGGAAGCCTACACTGACTAACTGACGTAAAGCCTATTTTGTACAAGCCTACATTTAGCCAGCAGAATGCTCCTCTTTGTCCACATATAAGATGACAATGCATAAAAAAGCTGATGATTGTATGATCAAAATAAACATATAATTGCCAGCTGATGCAAAGCTCCTACAGATAAATCAAAACATCACGTTTAAAGTCTTACATGTATTTCTCGAGCAGTAAGTATAGACAGAACCACTTCCAGAGACAAAATGTCAGTTTGTCAATATTTACCCTAACAATTTCAGTATACCGTACATTTCCAATAACAGCTATAAGTAAGCCTAGCTCTTCTACAAGTTTATGTGTAAATTAAATATAAACTTTAAACTATTTAGAGAATAAACTCATACAGGTTTACTTATGGCTTCCTTCAGCAGTTTTGCAGTTTCTTCCCACTCATTTTGCTTGTTCTCTTCACAGACATTCAGTGGAGATCTTCCTTGCTGATCAGTAATGTGCTACAAACCAACAGAAACACTGATAATACATTTTCACTAGAGATACGTCAACATTTAAACATTTTTTGAGATAATTAAAATCCTTTATCCTAGGGTTCAAACATTTAACTGATATACAATGGGAAAAGTAGAGGTAATGAAAAATATTTAACCATTTTTTGGTACTCTCTCAACAGGATCATTGTGTTTACACATTGCGATCTGGACACAAAATATTTCACATACACAAGCTAGAAACTGTTGCTATTTCTACACACAAACAGAACTTACTCTGTCAATTTCTGGATGATTTAGGAGAATTTGTACTATTTCAGCATGCCCACCTCCAGCAGCAAAATGAAGAGGAGAGCTAAGTTGGCCATTCAAAAGATTTGGATTGCATTTCCCTTTCTCCAACAGCATTCGAGTGGCTTCAACTTTTCCATACCTGCAGACATGTTTAAAGCAGAACAGACACAGCAAGTGTGAAATTAAAAAATCTTTTTTCAGATAGTACTAAATATGGAAAAGTGCATATCCATGCTCAAAAGTTTTTAGCTTTGAAATGACATCAAAGACAACATTAATAAGTTTCTACAAATTAGTATCAGTTCTGCACTTCTTTGGTAACAGCTGGTCTAGTAAGCATTTACTGGATTCACTATAGACAAACCAAACCTTGCTTTAAACTAGCTAAGTTTGGGTAGTTGTAGCAATTCAGTCATGGCAAAACAGAGTTCAGTCCTGCCTGAAAATATAAAAAAAAACAAAAAACAAAATCTGTGTGAGAATCGGAGTAAAGTTTTTGACTGTCACACAGACGGATCTTGAGGACTCTTAAGCATCACACTGATAACTGGTAAATCTTGTGTATACTGTCTATGCAAACATTCAGACAAACACTAAAAATCAACCAAATTCTTCTTTTATAACCAAGTTTGATTTTCATGTTATTTATATCATCAGACACTACTATAAATACAGAGGACTAACTTGCGTAAAGATAAAACAAAAGCATTTTTATAACAATTGAGGAAAGCTCTCAAGCTCTTTTTCTTACAGATTAAATCATCAGAGTTATAGTCAGACAAATTGACCTCAGTAGATCACCTAGTCCAGCTTCCCACCCAAAGCTTGACTATCACCAAAACGTGCTCAGCTCAGCTACTGCTGCGATGTAAAACTACTCACAGCCTTTAACCAATGCAGACTGTAAAAGTTACCACACTAAACTAGACCCATGGTCTCCAACACGGATTAGAACAGCTGCTTCAGGACAGATATAAGAGGCAATAGATAAATCTGTGACCGATACACTCTCCACACTTGGTCTCCTCTGAAACCATTCATATTGAATTTATCTCCAAACCTGAAGCAAAATTTTTCTGCAGAAGGTTAACATTAACATATAGTAAAATCAAAATATAAAAAGTCTAGAGATATTTTTGATTCCTCATTTTTGAGTCTGTATGATAAATTACATAAATGATTAGCGGTAAACAATCATGACAACAAGAACACATTTGATTGGCAAAACTATAGTCATCTGACTCACCAGCATGCATAATGGATAGGTGCCCAGTGGTCACTATCTAACTGATTAACAGAAAACTTTTTATCCAGAAGGTGGCTTAGTAAATCAGAGTCACCTTCGCAAGCGCTGCGGTGAAGAGGGAAATCATCTACCCACTGGTGTTCCCTATGAATCAAAAGGGGAAACAGGAGGAAAACACAGTTCAGAAATACTTCAATAGTTGAGAACATCGACTTTTTTTAAATTACTAACGTGATCTACATGAAAAATAAAAATGAAGCTCATGCGGCTAAAATGTGTCAGTATTCATACAACCAGTAATTTCATCATGCAGTAGTCAAGGTACAGCAGTATTCATTATGCTAAGAAATGCTTCCCTAGTATTTATAATTTAAACCTTTCTTGTTCCGTCCTTTAATTGTTCTGTTTCAGTACTTAGAGACTTCAAACAGAACTTTTTAAAAAATGTATTTATACAGTAAAGCCGGAAAGTAATAGGAATCTCATTCTGACCACGTCTACCAAGTACTACTGTAACATAACAAAACAAAACTATTTGCTAATAAAAAAGATATGTAACGTAATACTTGTCCTCTGTGACACTGCTCATGCTACGTTGCCACTTTTCTCTTTTAGGAATCTGAATCTTTGAATAGTCTGGGGCTCCAAGGCCAAAGTATGGATTTATTACCACTTTGTCAACCTGTGAAGACATAATTTAAACACAACTGAAAAAACTTCTTACTGAGATTTGGCTAAACAATCCCCCTCCCAGGTTGGGTATTCTCTTGAAACCAAAGTTATGATAGTAGTATTTTATAATTAAAGAGAACAATGTTCATATGTGAGGATTTGAAAAACCATTTAGCAGTAAGTGTGCATTAAAGATATCTGATTATATTAAACATAAAGCGCACATTCATACCAAATAAATGAATGAATTGTAAAATGAAAATGTATGTACGTTTCACAAATACAAAATGAAAATACAGTTCTTACCCTGTTGGTATACTGCAGATCAGATCCAAACAAAGGATTATAAATACACATATCTGCTTTCTCCAATGCCAACATTTTACTCTTTATTTCCAGGGCAGTATAACCCATGTGTAACGAGCTCTCTGTTTGACCAGGTTCTATAGCATAGGCTGGGTTTATTACATTTGTTTTAATTCTCTCCAGAGGAGATGGTCTGAATAAAGCTGGGATGGAGTGAGACTGAGTGTGCCGTTCATCCAACCACCTGCAAGACAGAATGAGCAAGTAATTAATTTTCAGGTAGAGAAGGATTATTTCGGTCATGCCTGTCCATCATTTTGTTTGATTAAGGGTTGCATGTATGATAATCACACACTTTAATTGAAAAAATATAGAATGTGCACAGACAATTTTATAGCACTAAATTAATCCCCAAACATGAATTTTTTAAACCAAATATAGTTAAGCAAATGTATTAGCTCAAATACATTTCCTGCGGATGCAAGCTCTCAAAGAAAAGGAAATTATAAGCTAAGGTAAGAGTAACATTGTTTATAGCCAAAGCATTTAACCACACCAACATGTCACCATTTCATTTACTTTCAGTTTATCAGTATTACTACTCTCAAGATACAAATTTTGAAATGCACACCAGTTTCTTAAGGGTGAGCTGAAGTTTCAATATCTGTGCCGACTTAAGCCTTCTAACTCATGTGTTCCATTAGGCAGCGATGGGAAAAGGCAAAAAATCAGAAGGCTCAAGTTTCCAAACTGCTAAGACTCTTTCACATAGGCTACCACCTGCCTTTTCACAAAGCTGTGCTGACAGTTATTCCCTTACCAGTGCACTCCCACCAACAATACAGAAGGGCTTCAGAGCCCTCTGACTGAGCTACTGGGGAAAGTCAGCCCTGTACACCTGCTGCATTTTTTCCTGCTACATGTGCAACATAACACAGGGCTCAGGACAAGTTATTCATCTTAATTTCTGGATAAATATGTTTTCACCGAATTGCTAAATTATTTTAGTATTATGTTGAATGGGGCACATTTTAACTAAGGGTCTAAAGCCAGGTTTGTATTTAGGTTTCTGCACGCACTTTCTCACAAGCTTGAGATAAACATGTACTTTGCTGGAATACAATAAATTCCGTTTAGTGATTTGGCCTGGAAATATAGAAGAAAGAGAAGTACATGCTTTGGAAAGATAAACCCACTGACAGACCACCTGGATCTTGTCTGTCCCAGAACCATATGTAAGGATGGCAGAACGCAGCCTGCAGTTCAACGCATATGCTCAGGCCTGGACTTTTTAAGTCCCAGATCCAAGCTATCACATGTTGCAAAAGCCGTATTCCGTTCACTTATTCATGGTCCTGCTGGGAAGGAAGACTGTAAAATTGTGGTCTTTGTGCTATAAACACCCTCTTGCCTCTCTGAGGTGTCTGCAGGCATTTTCTCCACCCAGCTGGTAGATAAATTAGTTACAGTAGTTTGAATCTTTGAGAGTGCTGTTTCAGATTATGCACATAGAGAATAAGCAATATAAACTACTTTCCATTATACTTCCAAGGCTTCTGTCACAACTGTAAGGCTCATAGTGCATTTTAAGCAGAGCTTAGAGTCTGAAGGCATTCATCAAGCAGCAAATAAATATAACTGGCACGATGGTATACACGGAAATATTACAGCTCTAATAACAAACTGTAAAAACCCTACACACAGAACCTTTTTAGGTAATAGCCTGGAACTTACAATTTTTCATGGTAGCCAAGAGTTTCAGCTAACTTCATTAATGCAAATAAGTTCATACATAAGTATGCCTTATTTCTTTATTAAGGGTACATGAAAAAGACCAAAAAGCTGCTCACATATTTAACTTTCAAACTACTATAAATCTGACTAAACAACTAATCACCTTTCCGAAAGTTAACTCCCTACTGCAAATAAATTTGTATGGCTGGGGAAGACGCACTCCCTTTCTAAAGGGAGCTTTCATTTAAATGCAAATCTTAATGGTATACAATTAACAGGATATTTTGCTACACTGGCAAATACTCTTAAAGATGACAATTATGTCACTTCTAGCAGAATAATCATTAGTATTTTATATGATTTTACAAAACATTTACTGTGAGCAAGAATGTCCAAAAAGCCACTTGATTTAGATAAGCTCACCATTCTCGAGTCTGCAAAAACATTTTTAGAAAGATTTAGGAATCTGTTGTCAAGGTTTCAGTTTCTGATAAACATGAAGAAAATCACAGAATCACAGAATCACAGAATGGTAGGGGTTGGAAGGGACCTCTG